GCAATTTTGTTTAACAGTAGAGCTACCAAACCTGGCAAAATGACGGATTTCAGAAATTGTTAAGATGCTTTTGTTCAAGTATACTTAGAGCGCCTTTCGTTGAAATAAAGAGATAATTAGACGTGCCACTTTATTTTCCATTAATGGTTCCAATTTTGAAGTTTTTTATGCAGTCTTATTTAAATAGTCTAGAAGGGACAAAATTTACCACATTCAACTACGGTTGTTCTAGTGTTAATTATTTTCTTTCACTCTTCGTATTGCGAGATCTCTATTCTATTGCAAAAATTTAAGTCACAGCGTTGTAAACAACCAGGAAACTTATTTCTATACGCCTAGGAAATATAACAATTGAAAAAAAATGAAATTGTTCGTTTTTGGCACGTCAAGTTGAGAAAATGAGAAAATGTGAGCGTTAAGGGGTTAACGAGTAATTTAAGTTAGACTTGCTGTGAGAAATAATTGATAGAAATTAATGTTGGAACACGATAATATTTTATGAAGATTATTGTTGATAGGAAAATGTGAAATCGTGAATTTCTTAACTTGAATATATGCAGAATTATACATTCACGAAGGAACATCACGAGTAGAAACTTCGGTATATAGTAGTTCTCAAAAAGAAAAATTTTTTCTAACAATTATTTTTCAAATTTGTTGCTGAAAATTATTTTTCTCTGTACTAATAGAAAAATACCATATTTCTAAATAAAATAACGTAAACATTATTCATTTACTGCTTCACTGTTAAAATTACACCGTTGCCTCGCAAGAAATCGCGACGAACCCTCGGTCTGGCGGATTATCGTCATAAACTTGTTCAATCACACTTGGCCGCCAGACCGAGGTACCGGTCCTCTCGCGCGTAGCATACCCTCCGTGAAGAGGTCACGTGCGCGGTGGAAAATCACGCGGCAATCCCTTTGAAAAAACCCCAAAAAATGGAATTTCCAATGTTAGCAACAATCCCTTTCCATTGGAAGGAGCTACATCCCACCTAAACAACCTCAACCAATCAAGACTCGGTAACTACACCCCACAGAGGAAATCGGCCACCAATCAGCAACTGGCCGAGTTGATAAAACCAAGGACACGAAGCAGGAGCGCGTCTTTTGGCAGTTGGTCACAGAAAAAATAGTATTTGATGGTCACGTCACAATATCAATAGTTATCACTCTTGTTGTAAAATAAGATAGTTGTTACAAAACGCAGATTCGTCTCAGTTCTTGGCATTTCACACTGAATGAATCGAAGTGTGAATAATCTCGCGTACCGGTTCGGCACTTAACACTTTACCGACCGGTAGCGGTTGAACATTCTACGCACTTCCGACCGGTCACTCGGCCACAGATATATCGGTGACACCGGATCTGTTTAGACTCTAGGCTATTGCGCGGGAATATACGCGCTTTTCCTTATACCTGTAGAAATGTTAAATCAAACTTTGACCGGTTAATAGGCTATCGGTCGGTAAGCGTCGGCGAAAAAAAATGGATTAATAGGCTACCAGTCGGTAAGTGTTGGCGGCAAAAAACCGATTAATAGGCTACCGGTCGGTAAGCGTTGGCGGCAAAAAGCCGATTAATAGGCTACCGGTCGGTAAGCGTTGGCGGCAAAAAGCCGATTAATAGGCTACCGGTCGGTAAAGTGTTAAGCATCGAGCATTACGCGACCCGAATATACACAGCTCTAAATAAATTCTAATTTCGACTGAGTGTAAATTGATCATTTTCCAAGCTCGTTGAACGAATGATTCTGAAATTAAATAAAAGCTTTTCTTCTTTAAAAAAAATTTAACATCTACTCAGTTTAATGTGTTAGCATCTTGTATTCTTATGTTTGCAACCAGAACACTTCGGCTGTTCACGCAATAAAAAATGAAACAAAATTACGAATTTATAGAGGAAATATCGTTAATATTCGCAGCGATGTAATGCAGCGAAGGGTAAAGTGCGCGCTCACGTTACACGCGGTGATGAACACGAATTTGTTGAATGAAAGGCGAAACAGGTAAAGTGAAATCGGGCCAAAACTACTCCACTCAGAGTTAATTGAGTTTTCAAGGTTCTTTGACGCGCTTCAAGCGTGTTGTTCCGTTCGTTAGATTTATCTTAATGCCACGGGTCCCGAAGCGTCCTAATTCCTTAAAGCCACCCTCGAAGCCGCGATCGATTTCAAGGATCTTCGGTACGGGTTGCGTAGGTTAACAGCCGGGTTAATTACTGGAAATTTAGAACTAGTCACGGGGGAGATCCCGTGAGATTAAACGGAGACGTTTGCTTCCTGATTTTCACTATTTAACCTGTGACATGCTTATTAAATTAATAACATTCTATCTTCCAATGGTATCTAACTTTTTGGCAATTACAGCGGGTGTTATGAAATTATTAGAGCCACCTGTGAGAAATTGACGGTTTTACGTTGTAACGATTAAGTTTTAGACGAAAACCCAGATATACCGAATTATTGTTATTTTTTTTACGAAGCGTTGATGTTTACAAATTGCAAATATACACTGCAGCGGGTGTTATGAAATTATTAGAGCCACCTGTGAGAAATTGACGGTTTTACGTTGTAACGATTAATTTTTGGACAAAAACCCAGATATACCGAATTATTGTTATTTTTTTTTTTACGAAGCGTTGATGTTTACAAATTGCAAATATACACTTGGTGACACTTTAGGCAATGTTATCTGTCGTATGGACGTTATTTTGTATCGGTACTGCAAATCGCCACTTGAGAACCACGTGTTACAGTTTTCTTGGTTTATAGATCTCGACTATTTTCATTTTCGTCGCAGATTTCACTACTTATAATGCATAGCAAATTACTTAAAGTGTATCGAAAAAGGAATCAAGGTTGTAATTGCAGCAAAAGGTAGCGCTACCAAATACCGACTTTATTGTTACTTCTTAGCTGCATTTTTTATAACTGCATAAGCTAAGTTTAACTGTTTCGTATATCTTCAGTGAAGAATCGTTAATTAAAAATTATTTAGCGTGAAAACCTTGATGTTGTGATTTTATTTTTATGCAAACACAAAAGACGTATTTTTCGTATTGTGGCTCTAATAATTTGATCACTCACTGTACATCTATCCTGTTTTCTTAAATATTTGCATTATGTTATTAGTCGTTTCAAGTGTTTATTTAATTAGACGAATTAGTGTCTTGGTGGATTGTTTTGGGAAATTCCTTATATTAACACATTTGCGTCGGACGACGCACATATTCAGGTTTTCACTTTGATTCCGAATGACGCAAAATACGTCGTTGAGATTTTCACATATCTGTCTGAAAGTAAATTTATAAAACGCTATAAACGATTGAATTTCTTTTCAAAAAATTCCGCGACGGATGTTTCACGAATTCAAATAATTCCTGAAAATTTCTTTGAAAAATATTAATTAGTTGAAAAGAGACGATTAAAGGAAAAGACGCGAAATCATCCCAAGTGTTGAGCGCTGCTCTAAGAGCCCCGTCGCCAATGTGTTAAGTGTAGAAATGAGATCTTTGTGACTGGATTTACATAATTGATTCGAAGCCACCGAGTTTCAAGCAAGCAAACTGCCAGAAAAATGGTAAAATATCGTCGACAATATTGGAAGTTATTTCTGTTTTCGTTCTTTTTGGAATAAAACTTTGATTGCATTCAAAGTTAATAAAGATATTCTATTACATTCGAAGTAACACTAAATCGAGCTGCTTAGAAGCTGAAGTGATTAACCTAATAGAAGAAAATGCAGAGAAATTTGTCAAATTTGAGTACACTGTTTTTTAAAATTTCAAACGAAATTTACCGAGAAAGAAATATCGTGAAATCGTTTTTATTATTTATACATTTTCTATTCTGTTTCACAAAGGCTTCAGAATTGGTTTATTTATCATTGTATTGTCATCTCTCGGTGATAAATCGAATTATCCAGGTAATTTTTCATTTATGAAAAGCTAAATTCAGAACACGTGTTTTACTATTCAAATTGGAAAATTTGCAAAAAGTGGAATTAATCAGTTTTGCCTTTGAATGACTCTAAATATTAACGATTAACACTTCGTAATATCCATTGAACTTTTTTTCACAAGGAAATTACAAGGAAATAAATTCTACAGTTCGTAAAATTCCGTCACGAAAAATGGTGGCTGAAAAAATTAGCCGAATATTATTTCGAAGTAAAAAGAGAATTACTATTCTCAGTGGGAATTTCAAAGCTATTCAGAAGACATTTTCCGAAATAATTAAATTCGATTTCTCGAGTATGCTACCTGGCAGATTTCTCCTTATTTCGCCGCTAACTTTATCACGTTATTACATTTTTGTTGCATTTCCGCTTCGCTGCACTCGTTTCCTCTTTTCCCCTGACTTTCCCACGAGAGATGTCTGAGTGATCGATGCGTTCTTCGAAAAAAGATCAAGATTGAAGAGAATACGTTTCGCCGGTAGACTTCAAGAGGAGGAACTTTTTTGTCATTTACATTTACTTTTCTCCAAGTCGCACGAAACTTCTGTGTGTCTGATCTGCCAATCCGACGTTCCGTTTGTCACACTCTTAATACATATTCAACTACAAATTCGTTACTATACTCGTAATTTCTATCGGCAAGAAATTACAATTTCATTGTACTTGACACATTGCCAACCGATATGGCAGAGATCTACCATTTTCCACGGTATTATTTACACCGAACGATATTTCAATCTCATGTGCAATTTAAAAAGAATTTTCTTCCACAATATTATCGATGTAACGAACCATCGTTCTATTGTACATTATTAATCTTCTCAGCACGGCATTCTTTATCAGTTTTTCGAGAATTCATCGTAGCAATCTGTGACACATCCGTTCAATTCCAATTCGCTCGGTCGGTAATGTGTTAAAATTAAGTAAAAGAAAAAAAAAAATTAGCGTGAAATAAATTTCCTTCAGTAATATTTTGATATGAAATTTTCAGAAATTTTCTCGTTAGAATTTGTTTCGTTAATACATAAACAAGACTCACCTGTTTTCGTGTTTTTCTCATTGTGAATCGTCAACGAACTTGGGTTCCCATAAACAGAGTTATTCATTTCCGCCATCAGCTCCCAATCTGTACAGAAAATGGCATTTTATAACAGTTTCTCTAGGGACTCTGCGAGTAATAAATTTCTAAAAAGCTCAGTCGGTAACTTCCTTTTTTTCTTTTAACCGGCGTATATACGTGGGCCGTTGACGGTTTGAAACGTTCGTTGTATAAATAATAAATCGCGGCCATTCGACTGATGGTCGAAGTAGTAAATTACTTTCCTTAAAGCAGCCGACAGAAGTTAAGCCGCTTTCGATATTCGCGTGCAAAGTGAAGGCAAACACATCAATGAAGATCAAGAATACTTTCAACATTTTCCATAATGCGAAACGTTATTTATTTATTTCGGATTTTTAGCTCGCTTCCACGTGAATGAATTAAAAATTCAAGCTTCTTTAATAATGCTTAGGAAAGTCTTACTTCCAAGTACGTCTTGGCTATTTTTCCGCGATTTAAAGGACGTGCTTCCTTTACGTGTTACACTAATACTAGTTGATCAGAAGATGTTACTACTTCGGTAAAGCTGCGTCTACACTGTGTAACAGAACAGTGTTCTAAAACAAACTGTCTTACAACTTTGTCGTATAACATGTTTTCATAATTTCTTACAAGATTACATTTTTTGGTATTACAACACCAAGTCTGTATCAAGCTTGTATTCTTTCCTTTCTTCAACTCTCGCTGAAACTGTTCAATCGACATTCGATATCTTTTTTCTAATTCAGTTGATTCGGAAAATTTTGGCAATTGTTTTCATATGTAATTACCTATTAAGTGAAAAGTGTGCTTCGTTATCAGTGTTTCACGAATCCTGATGAAGTGAGCTGTAACGCTTACGAAACGTCGGAATACTTTTTCCATAAGGACACGGCTCACATCAGGAAACCTCCATAATAATTACCAAATGAAAAATGTCAACTTTCTCAAGTAAATATAAATTTCGACGATCGCACAAAAATAAATCATTACACAGTAGAACTGTGGAAAAGCGTGAATTGCGTATAGAAAATAAACAAACTTAAATATTCATATTTCCACACTTTTCGATTACCCAAATTTTCAATTCACAAATCTACCAAAACCAACCAAAAATAAATCAAAAACGATTACACCACAGAACTGTACAAAAGCATGACTTGCGTATAAAACACGAAGAAACATAAATGTTCATATCTACACTTTCTAATTACCCAAATCTTCAATTCTTCGAAAACCAACCAAGAGTCAAAAACAGTAAAAGCAACCTCTTCACTCGTCGAGAAAATTGCTCCAACTCGCAAACAAGAATAAGTGCAACAACCTAAACTAAGTATTAAAGAAAAGAAGCGAAGAAAGAAGATCCAACATCTCGAAGAGTAGGAAGACTCTCGAAGCTCCATCGGGGAAAATGCAAAGGCACGCGAACCGGCTGGTCCAGGCCCGCGGGATAAAATATTATTTTCCCCGCGATTAAGGTGGGTTTATGAGCTCACCTTTCTTCGGCATCTCTGTGGTAGACGGGCTGGGGCTGGTGCTCGGCGGCGTGGACTCTGCAACGAAAGAAACAAGTTTTTATTTTTAATTAAAGTTTCTTTCCTGACGGTACGTAGGCGCGTGGCCCGTTTAAAGGGAACTCTCCCTCTTCAGAAGAAGAGGATGGTTGGTGACCAACCGACGATGCAAACAGAAAGACAGAGGGTTGGTAAGAGAAAGCAAGCTTGGAAGCTGCACGGACCGTTATGGATCGCGCCACCTGTTACTAACTTCGCCCTCAAACGTATTAGCCACCGTGCCGGCCAGGCCGACCAAACTCCAGATCATATTTTACGCGCCACGTACCATCGCCCTCTCTCTCTCTCTCTCTCTCTCTCTCTCCTCTTCATCCATGTCGCCCCGGTGAATATAGTTGAATAATTATTCCTAATATCGTCATTCGTCCTGCGTGGCTCTCCGTCTCGCGTCGTCCGTTAGGTATGTCCGCGCCGCGGATTTAGCGGTAGCTGCACCTGGCTGCGCTAACTTCCGTGCTACTGGCCCAGTAAGCGTGGCTATAAGGATATTCTAACGTTTCGTGTAATACTCTGTTACACTACAGGTGGAATACGGAGTGTTTCTTTGACTAGGAGGAAGGGTGAGAGAGAGATGTATAGTCGATGGAAGAAATATGGGGTGTCCCAGAGGAAGGAGGGCATTTAAGTATCTCCTTTGTTTTTAATGCTATGAAAAATGGGTGGAGCATGATTTAAATGGTAGGAAGTGAGGAAAAATTTTGAGGGACCTAAAGGGGATTTTCTGCACTACGTCGACAATTCCTTTACTATTTTCCCTTGTCGGTTTCTCTTTGTTGGGTATGGAGGCCCTGATACTACAAAATGATATCCAAAGGAGAGTACCATTGAGAAAAAGTTTTTGTTTGCTCATTTTGTCATCTTTTTGTTTTTTGTCTTACTACGAGGGTGGATTGAAAAGTTCGCGGCCTAAGTAGGAAGAACTGTTGCTAGGTGCTTGCAATTTTTACGGTGTAATCTGTGGTCATTTGTGTACCGACTAGAGCTGTTACTTAAGAGATACACGGGTACCCGTGAAATACTCGGGTAATCAGAAAGTACCCGGGTAAATAGAAATTATCCGGGTATCTCATGAGATGAGACCGCTGAGAGTAGATATCTATTATTCCTCGACTGTTTCGGCAGAGGTTTCAAAACAATATTGTGTAGGGTACAGGTGCACTTTGACACGTCGGCATCGTTGCATCGCTGTCGCGACCGATCCGCATTTGTTTACCCGGGGAACCACCAGCGGTAGTGGCCACCGAGATTTCGACTGTTTTATGTACATATTCGAGTACTCGTGAGATACCCGGGTCGATCGGGTTATTTTCATCTACCCGGGTATCTCAGACACCCGGTTAAAAGTAATAGCCCTAGTACCGACGTACGAAGTTTCGTGGCTGTGTCAGTTTTTTGTTCTCTTTTACAGCTGGTGAAGAAGGGGTGTTTACAGCGACGGAGAAGAGACGAATAGAAGCGAGGAATGATCCAGTACCTGGTGACGAAGGACATCGCCGCAAGGACCTTGAATGATTTTCGCAAGGATTTCGAATAATTTTTGCAAGGTCCTTGAATGATCTTTGAAGCGAGGTCCTTTATCTTCAGGTATTGGATCGCTGTTCGTTTTCTAATTTTGTCCATCTCTACTTCATCTACTGAAAATACCTCTACTTCACTAGCTCTAAAAGGGAGAAAAATGACGACAGAGACACGAAACTGTATACATTAGTATACAATTAATTTCATATTATTCTTAGCTGCAACCCTTCATACTTAGGCCGTGAGCTTTTCAATCCACCCTTTTAGTGTTCAGGGTCATCTGATTAAGGCATATTCAAATGTGTTTTCTCGTCTGCTACAAGATGCAATAGAAAAATATACACGTTTCAACAAAAAACTTTCTCCTACGCGATATTCCCCTTTGGAAATCATTTAAATTGTGCTACAAACATTTTTCATAACGTTAAAAGCAAAGGAGATATTTGTGGCCTCCTTCAGCTGGGACACCCTGTGTAGTGTTCGATGATTTCTGACTTGGGAGAAAATTTTGTAATAGTTGCTTTCTAGGGCTTTCACGTCAATTAACCCTTTCGCTGTTGAATGAAAAGATGACTCTCCGCAATAAAAATGCGAATTCTTTTTTATGTTTGAAAATATAATACTTCAAAGTACCATGAAACTTGCAAAAAAGAAAAAATAAATGGTCATATGTGGGTTTTTCGTATAATTGTGTGGTACATTTTGAAGAAAGGAATAGCGGACAGTATGGAGTACAGTGTATCTTTCCCTTTAAATGTGCTGATAAAATAAATTTCCTTACATCAGAGAAGATTTTCGAAGTGTCGATCATTTGTATCACTGAAGTCACGTGGACAAGTTTTGAATTTTTTTACTCACTCTGTATAAATTATCATAGAGTATGTTAAGGCGTAAAACTAATTATAAGTAAAACCATTGTGCATATTTCACCTTCTTTGAATGTATAGCAACGATTGCCCCTTTTGTAGTAGGATTAAGAATTTTACCTCGGCTGTGTTAATTTTTATTTACCTTGGCCGAGTCAGGGCAACTAATAAAATATTACCTGCTACGGTTAAGGCATGGGGAAAATCCGACACATGCCACTCGAAGGTACTTGCAGTACCTGAGGGTCACGGCGGCTTCCCCTACCAAATTAAAACCACCAATCAGATATCGTCATTCCCATTTTCACATGTCCGCATTTATTATTTAAGCACGAATTCCTTCAAAGGACGACAGATTCTAAAAAACTATCAGCTATTCAACACAGAAATTATTATCACCAGTCTAACGCGTCTTTCTAATTCAACAGTTGTAGAATAAATTTAAAGTGTTATGTATACTCGTGACATCATTCTTTCACCACCTTCCAGTATCCAATTTCAACAAATATTCAATCGTCATTAACGTTGACGTTTGAAGTGAGCATACGCGAAAGCCTCTCTTTCACACTACAAATTGTTAAATTGCTCATGCCTAGACAGAGTATTAGAAAAAAAAACGAAGAAAAAATTAAATGTGTTTTAAGTAGGTATTATTGGAAAACAGACATGCGCGACAAATACAGATTTAAACACCGTATTCCATCTTTCGTAATTTGAGTAAGGAGAACGTAACGCGCCCTGATTCGAAGAAACGTGGCTTTTATCGAGGAACGTGAGAAATTGAATGGTAGTGACCAAAGATCGTGGAGGAAAATCGTTAAAATTACTCGGTTGGAATTCAGCGTCAGACACGGACAAACTAACCCGCTGTCACAGTGACGCGTTCACCGCGAAAAAGTCATCGTTATTTGTCACGGACGGCTGAGCGATTGCCCGTATGTGGAAGGTGCATACCAGCCAGATACTTGCACGCTACCGAAGGTAAGTAGGATGGGATGACAAAGTGTGCTTCTTGGCAGACGTGTTTACGCGCCTGGACATAATGCAAATATGTGACCGTACCCCTTTATTGTAGTATCAGCTTTAAATTACTTCCATGCTTGTCTATTTCATGAAATTCCTCCAGGTACCATGCTGCTCAGCTTTCCTTTGCCCAGAGTTTCTCCGTTTCTTATTTTTCTATAGTTTGTGCAATTCATCTTTCAGACTTTTTATGGTAAATATCGATCACTTTATTTTACCTTCAGCATAGATTATTAGCTTAGCTTATTTCATGAAATTCTTCAGTTTCTCCATTTTCTTTTTCATAGTTAGTGTAATTTTCCTGTTAAAGCTTTCGATTCGTCTTTAAAATTTGTCATGGTAAATATCGATCACTTTATTTCAGCCTCAGCTTAAAATATTAGCTTAGCTTATTTTATGAAATTCCTCAGGCAGCACGCTACTCAATTTTCCTTTGTCCAGAGTTTCTCCGTTTTTTATTTTCATCCATTTTGTACTTAGTGTAGTTTCCCTGTTAAAGCTTTCGATTCAACTTTAAGATTTTTTAAGATCCACTTTATTCTCGCTTCAACTTAGAAGTTTAGCTTAAGATTCGAAAATATCTTCCTCTTACGTTAATTTTCCACGAATTCGATCGCTTGCATCAAGAAAAATTACAAAATTATAAAGAAGAATAGGAGAACTTACTGTCAAAATTATGTCAATAAAAAGTAACGCTTAATTTCAGTTAAAATCCAAGGAACAGAAAATTTCAGAATAACCCACAATTAAATTAGCCTATGATCTTCCCTGAACATATGTATCACGTAGTTACACTTCCAACGATCTACAGTAAGCGTCGAACTTTATTAAACTTGTTGAATCAACCTCGAATTGATTGTTGACGTTAAATTAGCAAAAAGTTGAAACTGTCTACGTTTGAAACTTCGAAGCCCTAGTACAACGTGTCTGCAGTTGGAAATATGCTTTACACCTTAAAGTGGGGTAGAACGTTTTGTTTTACTTAGCGTGTTTCTCGAGGGGATGTAAATAGTTCGTCGGTGAATAAGGCTTGAATTCTTGCTTGGAGTTAGAAGTGCCTCGATACGTGCCGAGCCTGCGGTGCTCATTAAGGACAATCTATTTTCGAAGTCTTTTTAGTTCGCTGCTCAACAAATTCATCGACATTCGCCTGACAATTCTGCCTGTTCGATGTTTAATACAAATAATTTCGATATTAAAATCGATAATTGTTAACCATTTAACTATAACACTGCCGTTCATAATTTTTAAGCTAAGTATAAGTATTATACACTCTCTGTTATTGTTCCGTCGCGCAGGTACGGAACGCATGGGGTCTTCGTTGACCGGGTTTATGGCACGCTCGCACGAGAAGGTTATTTTTGAGAACAAAGACGCTTCGTGGCTCCGCGAAAAAATAAGTAATTTCTTACAGAACAATGCCTTTAGAATTTCGACTTTTCCGCGTCCTCAATAACCGAAGACGTGTCATAAACCAGGTATTCTGAAGGGTCAATCCACACGCGCGTATAACGGCACATTCGGCCGAGGGTTGACCTGGCGGGAATTTCCGACGCGTCACCGAAGGACAGC